GCATCACAGCGCGGAGTGACCTCGGACACGCGCTAGGCAACATCGGCTCGCTATCCAATTAGGTCATAAACTGATCTCGAGCCCAAGGCCCAACAAAACCCTAATACACACAAAGGTACGTGCATTACTTATACGAGACTCATACACCCACAAACACTAACTTTAGCATCGAAGTCTCTTTTGCAGGTACCACCCCGCATCTTGGAGCATCAACGTACCAGTGAAGGAGGCTCACCGACCTTACCTAGCGAATCATCCCTACCTCGGATCCCCGATAAGAACATTTGGCGCCCACCGTGGGGCCGATCAAGACAGCTCTTATCGGCCACGCTTATGGTATTCACCCAAAGCCATAGTAGACGCGCAACAGACGACGCAGATCGCAAGACAAGCATGGACAACGAAGCAGCATTGAGAAGATGAGGAAACAACACACCGCCGATTTGCAAAACATCCGTGCCAAGCACGAAACTGACCTAGCGGTGCTGCGTACCGCGAATGAGGTTGACCTAGCGGCGTTACGCGCCGAGAACGAGCATATCCGTGCCCAGCTTCCTCGGCGCCTTTCTGATTAGCCCCCTCAACCGAGTAGTCAACACGAAGAGGAGGGGCACTCGGTCTCTCAACCCCCAACCGCGCCTAGGGCACCGACTCCCCGACCTGCCACACATCGGTCTCACGCGCCAACGAACAGGTCGGCCCATGAAGTCAGCAACGCTCCGGCTCAAGCTCCTAGAAATCGGACGAGCATTCGCCGCCATCCCTTTGTGGACGGCATCATGGAGACACCTCTGCCTTTCGGCTGGAAGCCCCTCCACATCGACCGTTATGACGGCAGGACGGATCCAGATGAACACATTGACTTATACGTCACACAGGTAAACCTATACACTAATGAAGATGCTATTCTGTGTAGGGTTTTTCCAACCTCGCTCAAGGGATCGGCACTCGCCTGGTATACCCAATTGTCGATGGGATCAGTCGATAGCTTCGACACTCTGGTGAGGCGATTCACGGTGCAATACGCAACGAGCCGACCTCATCACATCGCATCTGCCGCCTTGGCCAGCCTCAGACAGGACGACGACGAACCATTAAGGACATTCATGGAGCGCTTCGCTGGCGTCTCCGTCAAAATCCGCAACTTAAACCTCGAGGTCGCACTGCACTCCATGCTCATGGCATTGAAGCTAGGACCTTTCGTCGACAGCCTTTGCCGACGACCTCCTCCCGACATGGACAAGCTCCGAGCTCACGCTACTGGGTACATCCAGATGAACGAGCATGCCGAGTTCCGCAAGGAAATTCGTGACAAACCACAAGGAAAGCAAGACCAAGGTCAGGCCACGAACATTTAAAGTTGGCGACCTTGTTTGGCGATTATGGGGAGAAGCAAGAACAGACCCCTCCAAAGGAAAATTTGGAACTTGGAATTCCACCCACCTCAAATTTTATTTCTCTTAACTTGTAAATTCAGGTGATGTACTCTTTTTCCTCCTCAGCCTTTTTTCCCACTAAAGAAAAGGGTTTTTGGCCAAGGAAGGTTTTAACGAGGCACACCTCAGAAATAAATCAACAAAGCAACTCCATTCCCATACATTTTCGGTATTGGCACATTAACCATGACGACTTGCCAAGGTCGAGTTCGAACCTTGATGTTAAAGTCGGGTTCGAA